ACATGATCAAAATGAACAAGGAGGGAATCACAGACAGTGACAAAGCTGAAGTATCGGAGATCATTAAAATCGTTCAGCCTAACATTGACATATCTGAACTAAGACCTATTCGATCGGGCAGATTTGATTCTGCAAAAAAACGCCCTGTTAGAATTAGTCTCGTAAATGAGAAATTTGTTCAAGAGCTTATCAAGAATACAAAAAATCTGGTAAATTTTATATTCAAGAATAAAATCAGATCATCCCTAGATAAAACCCTACCGCAACAGGAATTGTACAAGAAAACTTGTGACAAACTAAATTAACGTATACAGGCTGGCGAATCAAACCTGATGATAAAATATATAAATAATATTCCTGTAATCGTAGCAAAAAATTAGAACTGCCCAACTGAATCCATGAAGTCACCCGTTATTTTCAAAATGTTCGCAGAATTTGTTCAAAATGCGAAGCTTTGTGTTCTGCTGTGAGTCAAGAGAAATTTGATCTTAGTGCTTTATGCGAAACTAATTTATCATCTGACGTCTTCAATAGTGAATATTTTTCCGAAAGTTACACAGTGTTCAGAAAAGAGCGTGAATTAGATGTTGTATCTCAAGAAAGTAGTGGTGGTGTTTAACTAGCTATAAAAACAATATTCGAAGTGAAATAGTAAATGTTGAATTGTTTGATATTAATTTTCCCCTTACTGATTTGCTTATATGTAGATGCGTTTCAAAGCAGACTTCATTTTATGTGCGTGTTGTTTATATTCCAACACGAACTATTTTGTGAAACATTAGAACAACTAGAAATTTTGCAGAATAAAAATGTAGCTTTAATTGGTGATTTCAATGCTCTTAATTTTGTATATATCTCTGCTCTTTATAACAAGCTCCATGCTCTTTATAATATGATAAACTTCTTGAATATGAACCAATGGAATAATATCTTGAATGACTCGAATAGGCTCTTGGATCTGATCATTTCCAATATGAACAAGAGACAGTGCTCCAGTACAAGTACATGAAAACTAGTAATATGCAGTACAATTATGAATGCAAAAGCCTTAGACTTGTCATCAAAAACTAAATCAAAGCTGCCTATGACATTTATTTAAATTGTATACAAGAATCTGTAGTATCTAATCCTCAATCCTTGCGGTCATACGTACATTCCAAGAATAGAACCTCCCGTATTCCAGGTAGGATGGAATATAATGCAGTTGATGAAAATACTTTGCATCCATGCTTAAAAAATTCAAATTGTTTTTATAATAATATAAACTTTGAAAACATCAGCCAACAGGAAATCTTGATTGCAGCACGTAAAATAAAAAATAAGTTCACTTCTGGTCCTGATAAGATACCATCCTTTTTGATAAAAGATGGGATCGGTGTCTTGGCTTACCGACACTTTTCAATCTTGCAGTTAAAAATAATACTTTTCCTGAATTATGGAATATACCACAAGTTTGTCCCATTTTTAAGTATGGAGATCCATCTGATATTCGTAATTATCGTCCTATAATTCAATCCTATCGAACTTTGCTAAACTTCTTAAAAGTGTCATATATAATTGCGTACATTAGTCAATTCGTAATATCGTATCTCCGCAACAACATGGATTTCTGTCAAAGAGATCCACCATAACAAATTTAATTGTATTGACTCAAAATGTTAGTGATGTCTTATATAATCGAGGTAAAGTTGATGTGATATAAAGGGTGACCCACCACATTCGCCTCCGTATTTCTACGAGAAATGAAGAGAGTAGGGAGAAACTTTCAGCACAGTTATATGTAGGTCCATGAGGAGCATATTCCAAAATTATTTTGAAATATAAAGGATCACTACCAAAAAAGTTACATACCAAAGTTATATTTTCTCTTATGTCTAATGGAACACCCTATATTTTTTTATATTTTTAAAGACTATAGAGAAAATAAAGGTGAGTTACTATTATATTTCCCATACTTAAAACTGACCGTTTTTGATAAATTTAAAAAGACAGACCATAATTCAAAAATTGTTTTCACCCTGTAACGTGTAAGTAAAATATAAAAACGCCTATTGTGTAAAAACCAGAAGAGATAGGTATAGGGAACCCTAATATAGTTTTAAAGGAAATCTACTTTAAGAAGTTATTTAATTAAATGTGTGTCCAAATTTTGAGGCAATTTTTTTCGCCACTCGAAATAATATTGCATTAAAAATTTCATGTGGTAGTTAACTTTAACCTTTGAGCTAAGCAGTACATTCAATCACGAGCAGCTCGTTACACGTTACAGGGTGAAAACAATTTTTAAATTATGGTCTGTATTTTTAAATTTCTCGAAATTTCCCAGAAACAGTCAGTTTTAAGTATAGGAAATATAATAGTAACTCACCTTTATTTTGTCTATAGTATCTAAAAATATAAAATAATATAAGGTGTTCCATAAGAAAAAATATAACTTCGGTATGTAACTTTTTTGGGAGTCACCCTGTATATTTAAAAATAATTTTGGAATATGCTCCTTATGGACCGACATATAACTGTACTAAAAGTAAGTCTCTTCATTTCTCGTAGAAATACCGAGGCGAATGTGGTGAGCCACTCTGTATACTGATTGTGCTAAAGCATTTGATCGACTTGATCACAAAAACTTCATCAATGTGGTTTCCATAATTCAGCAAAACTTTTCATTAAATGCTACTTACTTCAATACAAACAGTTTTTATCTTATAACGGCTATGATTCTTTTAAATATAATCCTTCATTTGGTGTACCTCAGGGGTCGAATCTCGGACCACTTCTATTCTTATTATTTATTAATGACCTCAGTACTTATGTCGATTGATATTTACCTGTCGATGATTGTAATATATTGCAACGACAGAAAATATACAGACTTGGTGTGAAGTTAACAAACTATATCTTAATGCATCCAAATATAAAGTAGTGTTCTACAGTAGAATGTCAGCCATTGAGTACAATTATCGAGTATGTACCATTTCGTTGTCCCGAAGTAACTCAATTAAAGATCTTGGTGTATATTTAGATCAAGATTTGTCTTTTTCCAACCACATTAGATCGAAAGTAAGTGGAGCATTGGGAGATTATGGCCTTATAGTTCGCAATTTTAAATCTTTTTCAAACATATCTTCTCTATTTAATCTTTATGTAGCCTACGTATTGTCAAAATTAGAATATGGCCCTGGTCTATGGTCTCCATTCTACAATTGTTATACATACATTTCTATCCTGATAAAGATATTTCATAAGAATCTCTTACCATAACACTCAATATTGAGAGTCTTGAATTACGCAGAAAACTTGCTGGAATAATTTTTCTATATAAATTACTACACAACAATGTGGATGCTATGGAGGTGTTATCTCTTATACATTTCTCTGTGCCTCATTTCAGAACTAGAACTACAAAAACAGCCGACTGACCAGAACCAATTTGTACCTCAAGTCACCTATCTTAAGCATTTGCAATAATTTCAATTTAATTTCAAATTTGTGTGATATCAATTTGGATTCCCTAGAATATATGTTGAAACTGCATCTCAGTTTTTCATGGAGAATGCGCTGGTCAGGCCCTATCCCCCAAAGCCCCGATACATTTGGCAGGGCGCGCCAGCATTATCAACCAACGACCACTCCCCACACCGTGGAGTAAGTGATCATTGGATCCGAGAAGCATGTGCCCTGAGTAAGCTCAGTGACCCAAGAATGACAGCCTTCTGCATCTGTTCGGCTAAGATGTCTGCCTTAGTGCGGCAAGCCGGTATGAGAGGGCATCATTCTACGAAGGACTCCAATAAGCAGAAGAAACATCTTGACAGTGTGGTCTGCATAGAGTCTGCGGAGTTAGAAGAGAAAATCTCGATATTTCATCCGTTTTTCCTCCTATTTTCGGACGATATTCGTTTCGCCAGAAGCTGAAAACTCCACGAAAAATATTGTCTTGCTCTAGTGGTCGAGAAGGACTACATCTGGCTAATTAGCTTGTATGAGCCTGAGGGTGGGGAACGAATATTTCCAATAAATTCGACACTTCTCGTTCCCCACAACGGATTCAATATCCCCCGGAGCGTAGGGCAACATCGGTGTCTCTTCAAGACCATAAGAGTGCCGTAGATAGTAATATAGCACTCTTAGGGCCGTGTTATGTCGATGGATATAGACCGAGACCTCATATGCTGGACATGCTAATAGCAAGTGCATTAGGGTCTCGGGCACCTCGCGGCAGGCCCTGCACCTTGTGTCAGGAACCTCTATACCCATCACGCGACTGCGGTAGACTATCCTTAGTTTCCGACTTCAGCCCACTCGACCTGAGGAAAGCGAAAGTCAGACGCTTTGATAAGTCAAGGTCTTCAATGTTATTGAAGAAGACCCCATGCATTGGCTTATCTTTGTGTTTCTGCAGAAGTGCGATTATATCTGTGGCTTTTATATTAGCTTTTCTTTGAACGAGTTCCAACTCGGTGACAGAGTTGTGATCACCTCGTTCAGTGTCGAAAACTAAACTGAGTTCATCAGCTGCTTGGGCAGCTGACCTAAAGAGAAATACTCCAATTCTTGATCTCTCAAGGTCGCGGACAGGCTATATCCAGTACCATTCTGTCATGTTGACATCCAAACTCAAAAAATTCACGGCCTTCCTGTTGTGGGGGGGAAGTACAACCGTAGAACGGACGATTTGGGATGCAAACTCCTATAAAGTTGTTATTATTATCATTATTATTTTTATTATTATGCGAGTCTCCTCTCCAGCCGTGCTAGCGTGTGGTAGAACTGTCACTTGCACCACTTCCTTAGCAGGCTGGGAAGCAACTATATAGCCCTGCCGTCGGAGATAGGATATGTAATCCTTCAGGTTTTGGGCGGAAAAGGTGGCATGCTCTGCTCCGGATGTGTTTCACACTATATTATTATTACTATTTATACATATATTTCAAGTTTATTATTCAAATATTGAAGGGTTGATAACATAAGTATACAAAAAAGTGTTGAATATGTAAACAAGTGTTGAGTATAAAAAAATATTGAGTAGGTATATATCGTTGGGGTTACAAAATAACAACTAATGTGGTGTAGGCAATTCCTACCTAAAAATCTGACTATATAGAGGAAAAATTTAATTTTTGTAGGAAAAAAAAATGAAATGATTATAATGTTTCCCATGATATTTAAAAAAAATGTCTGAAAATGAAAACACCCTATTGTGAGTCTCGTTTTTGTCCAGCAATATTTTTGGCGAATCTGAAATAGTGTAGTATTATTTTTTATTCTGACCTGCTCTATTCAGCATTAAGTTGAAGTATTTTGCTTGAATAACAAAATAGAAAAAAAGTTACAAATTATTTTAACATTTAACTTGAAGTGAAATATTAAAATGTTCATCAAAAATTACATCAACGTCCTACATCGTTCCCATAGAAGAAATGCTGAATCTATGAAAGTGTACACCGGGAGATAAGCAGCCTTGTGAAGATTCTCCTAAACCAGTCGGCATTCATATTCAAACTCTGTTACTGCGAAGACGTACTTTTGTCTACTATTAAAAATTCTATAAATTACGTTGATTAAAAAAAAAGACTGAGTGTTTGATGAGTTGTTTGGGGCAGTCGGTAGAATATCGGACTGATTCGTATCAAACGGATCGTATTAACGATTGATCGTTTATTGAACAATTGATGCTTGATTGGGAAGGTATTTGACGCGGAGTGGCTCCTTGGATGTCAGGAAACCAAATCAATCAAAAATTCGTGGAGGACCACTATCAGCAACGAACCACCGAAATTTGGAACACTATTGTCCAGATTTGCGAGAAATACTATCTGGTGATGATGAAAGTTGTGGATCCAGAAGTTGCCCTTGTAGGATGATGGTCAAAGCCGTAAGTCATTTAATGTGAGTACAACTTGATTTTTTGGGAAAAAAAGTTTTTGGCTTTCTACTACTTCCGTTGATACAAAAAATGTGGGAATCTTCCACAGAAAGAAGGGAAGTTTGTATTCCAAACTACTGAGTAGAGAATAGGGTCTTCTGTATAATTCAGTGTTCATATAAAAGTATTTGTTTCGAACGAATTTTTCTTTCGTGTAATTCAATGTTTAAATGAAAGTAGCTGTTTAAGGAGGACTTTTTCTTCCAGTTTGTGTCTGAAAGTTACTTCTTTGCATGATCTACACATCCATGTATAGAGTTACTTATTTTGAATTGATTACTTCCTTCCTTTCTTTGGAAGATTCCCACATTTATTGTATCAAGATGGAGTAGTAGAAAGCCAAAAACTTTCTTTCACAAAAAATTAGTCACTCCTAAAAATATAACCCTCTCTATTTATACAACTTGATATCTATTGAAAATTAGAATGCATTTCTTAAGAATTTATCACTGAATATTTCCATTATTACAAGTATAATTACTGAAAATTCTGAACAATAAATGGCACAACAATTCAAACCAGAATATTTTAACTGTGTACCATTGCCAATGCCAATGATCTAAATAGATACATTTCAGTTTGTGATACCTTTATTAGAACATATTATGATGTTCAATATCGTAATAATTTTAAAAATCTCATTTGTTGAATTATTTAATTTCTTAACTGACAGACAAGTTAGTTATAAAAATTTAGAACTTTTCTACATGGGATGACCTTGAAGCCACTCCGTCTAGTTTAGTTTTGAAAAACATTTTTACAGGGTTGAAAGAGACATCAGGTATCTACTACTATCCTCAATCTCAATCTCTCAATGAGGCGTGAATATAAGACCACCCGTACAAATTCATCACACCAAAAATAATCAACCTCAAAAGTTTTTCACCAACTCCCAAGTTTTTATTAATAAACAGCAACAGAAAGAAAATGTGTTTAAACCAAAACAAAATCGAACGTTTCCACGACCTATCCCAATGAGTGTATTTAATAGACAAACCATTTTCAACAAAAATCGCAAAGCTTCACCTCACGATAACCCCAATAAAAGAATTTCATTTCCGAATGACTGTATATACCAAATTACTCAAGAGAAAAAACTAGTAGATAGCGAATGGAAGTTCCACAATACTAATTATTGCGAAACTAAGCAATTTCAAAACTTCTAGTAGACGATTGAACCTAAATTCACATATTATTCCATTCAATAACTCTACTCAAGGAGAGTTGCCGTATAATTTCTTGCCCAATTAGAACCTCAAGTTGTTGATTGATTCTGGTTCTACAAAATCATTTTTTTTATCCAGATGTAGCCTTTGAATTTTTTTCAAATAACGTTAGAGATGATCTTTTCATGGTATCTACTGTCTTTCAGGAAATAGCTCAGAAATATAGTGCAAGTGTACCGGCTTCTGAGTTATTGAGATCACCAAAACCTCAGAATTGAAAATTAATTTTGTTTAAATTTCATAATGTTTTTAACAGCTTGCTTGGGCTGGATAATATGAATAATTCAAATTTTTGGTAAGGGGCTGAAGTACCATTAAACGCAAACCGATTTGAACTCAATTACCGTTGCACCTCGATCAGAACAAGTTATTCAGGTAAAAACCTCAATTGCTAGGGTTGAAATAATCCCACATCAAAAAATCCACAATTGCAAAAGTCCAGAATTAGCATAAACAGCAACACGGCTTCTTTACGGTTACTTTGGATTTTTCCGAACCTTTTTCAGTCGAAAAATTCAACCAGAAACTTATAGAGGAGATACATTTTATTAATTTTGATAACTCCGAAAAACCCAATTGTGATTATACTAACTTTCGTACAGACCACATAGATGACAAAGGGAAAAATTACATTCTCTATAAAGAATTCTCCAATATCTTCTAATAGGAAAACATGCCTCTTACCTTCACAAGTAAAATTAAACATCATATAAAAACTCACGATGAAATTCTTGTTCATTCTGAATCCTATAGATATTCACTCATACATAAACAAGAGGTAGAAAGTCAAATAAAGAAAATGTTAGATCAAAAAATCATAAGATCTAGTAATTCACCCTTGTCGTCTCCTGTTTGGGTTGTCCCAAAAGAGGCGGATGCGTTCGGAAAGCGAAAGTGGAAATTAGCCGTAAATTATTTTAAAAAAATGATGATAAAAACCCCCTTCCCTACATCACTGACCTCTTAGATAAACTAAGAAAGTATCAATATTGCATAACTTCACAAATGAGAATGGACACTAAGAGTATCTGAGGATGCATTTCGGCCAGTAAAATGCCTCAGCTACTTTCCAACGCGTAATGATAACATTCTTCTTGGTATTCAACACGAAAAATGTTTGGTATAATTCGATGATAATAATAGCATTCTCAACTTTTCTTTAAAAACACAGAATGATTACCATCTGTTATTCAAAGACTAAGAGAGTCTAACTTCAAAATGCAGTTAGATAAATCCAAATTTTTACGAAAAGAAGTTGCCTACTCAGGCAACGGTCTTAAACCTAAACCCGATTAAATAATTGCTATAAAAAATTATCCATTGCCAAAAACTAACCAGCAGATCAAAGTTTTTTTGGACTACTTGATTACTGTCGGAGATTTGATATTATCAACAACTTTTAACAAAATAACTAAAGAAAGGACCAAAAATCGTACTTTAGGAGCACTTTTTTTCATGCTTCGGGACATGTAAAAACCTTTTGATGGAGGAACCATTTCACAAAATCTTTCAACTTAACCCCTGATGTGAGAAATGCAGCATTAGGCGCCATGTTGTCGCAAGGACCTACGAGTATAAGTAATAATCTACCTGTAGCCTATGCTTCGCGAACACTGAATAACTCCGAACAGAATTATTAAATTTTGGACGAAAATTTGATATTTTATCAGACCATAAGCCATTATAATGGCTATTTTTTAAAAAAGAACAAAATTCAAAATTATTGCGATGGCGTATTGAACTTGACGAATATGACTATAACATGAATTTCACTAGTTCCGATTTCCATTGTTTACTATATAAATGATTCAAAATTCCTGAAACAACTAAAAAAGATGAATTGAAAATGAATAGCTAAAAATAACAATTATATTAACCAAAATAAACCTGAAATGAAATAATAGTGAAACAAAATACAAGTAAAAATAGAACAATTGAATAAATAAAAATAAAGAAATGAAAAAAGGAAATAAAAATAAAAAGTGGAGAGATTCCAAGTCACGTTAGTTCACGACGTTTCGATTGTTAGTATATACAATCGATAGCCAAAGTCTTTTCTACCATCGCTTTGGAGTAGCCATTTCGTTGAAGATCATTTTTGATGATGTCTAGTTTCTTTCGAGACCTTCCTTCGTATTACAGAGCCCAAAAGCACGGTTCGGACGGAAGTCCGAACTAGTGAAATTCATCATGAAACATTGTCAATCACCTTCAAACAAATGACTATAACATAATCTACTAAAAGGGAAAACTCAACACTAATGCGGACGCTGTATCTTCTATCGAAATTCATACCAAAGAAACAAGATTTTTCTGGGACAAATTAAATGAAATACTTCTATCCAATCAGTTCTGGTAACTCCTGAATATCAACCCTCTCCCGATATTCAAACTATTGGGAAATCTTTACTGAATCTAGTATAGTAGTATAGTAAATGTTGATGATGATATCACTGATGATAACATTGACAAACAACATTTTGAAAATATCCCTAGCGTTTCCCAATTTATACACGAAAGTCAAAATATAAATGATCAGATCGAACAACAAAGGTTGGACATACACGTTCAACATGGCACGGAATCGCGAATTAAGATACATCCGGAACTTCTTGATCAATCAGAACCTCCTGACCAACCACAACCCTCTGATAGACTAGAACCTCCTGACCTGGCAAAATTTCCCGTACAACCAGAACGTCCCGCACACAACGGTAATACTATACATATGGATCAAGAACAAAATCCTGCTGTAGATATAGGTACCAATTTCTGAAGCAGCAGTTAATTATGACCAAAATCAAATAATTTTCAGGTCAACCATACATAGTCCTGCCAAACCAAAAATTACAATTTTATTTGAAAAAGGTAGAAAGTAAACTCAAAGAAATTATACAGAATTCTCAATGAATAAAAAGAGGTTTTATCAATGGCATAGGTTGAATATTCAAGTATATCACTGGAAATCTCGACTCCACTAATGGAAAATGGTATGAAAGCCTGATTAAAGAATTTCAGGAAAACCAAAGTAAATTTGAGTGATGCTATCAAAAAATAGAACAATCTAACAGTTGATTTGATGAACAAACTTAGTGACATCTTTCAACAAATAGGTAAGTCATAGAGAAAAATTGTTGAAATAAAAAATTAGGCAGATTACCATCATAATAAATCAAATAACGTTCTGGGAGAATTCAACTTTCATTGAAGATATTCTGATTCAGATCATATACATTGCATTTCTTTAATGTCCCCCCCCTCTTATTTTTTGAACACACCACTTGCTCGGGTGAGTCGTGGTGCAACTCACCAAAGCCTCAGATGTTATTGCCATCCCTGCTTATTGTTATTATTATTATCATTCTCATTTTTTATCATATAAGGGTCAACAATATGATTTCCCAATATTCCTGCCCAGGCATTTATTTTCTCAGTAGTTAAGGTGTGACCTACACTTGAAATATGTGGGTTTATGTCTGACCAATATCGCACATTTTTGCGGTTGACATTTCCGTTCAAGAAAAAAGTGCATTTAGCAATGAAACGAATACTTTTTACTCAGTTTCGATTTGTAATCGAACATTCGGACATTAACTAACAGAACTGCATTCTTCTGTTAGAGTCATCTTCATTTAATTCTTGTTATATCGTCAGTTCATAAGGGCGAAACTTATGTCTTCTGAGATATTTCCTAGTGGTTGTTAATATATTATTCATACGAGCAACTGTTGTCTTGT